TTATCATATAATTATTATTGCCTCATGGCAACATGGCAAGCAATAACTGAATAATATTAGGAAGAAAATAAGGCGAGATATCCCGTGACATGGACAGTGGAATCAGGACGATCGACCCCATAGATTAAATTACATTATCATATAATTATTATTGCCTCATGGCAACATGGCAAGCAATAACTGAATAATATTAGGAAGAAAATAAGGCGAGATATCCCGTGACATGGACAGTGGAATCAGGACGATCGACCCCATAGATTAAATTACATTATCATATAATTATTATTGCCTCATGGCAACATGGCAAGCAATAACTGAATAATATTAGGAAGAAAATAAGGCGAGATATCCCGTGACATGGACAGTGGAATCAGGACGATCGACCCCATAGATTAAATTACATTATCATATAATTATTATTGCCTCATGGCAACATGGCAAGCAATAACTGAATAATATTAGGAAGAAAATAAGGCGAGATATCCCGTGACATGGACAGTGGAATCAGGACGATCGACCCCATAGATTAAATTACATTATCATATAATTATTATTTGGCCTCATGGAATAACATGGCAAGCAATAACTGAATGGAATATTAAAAGAAAATAAGGCGAGATATCCCTGAATAATATTAGGAAGACATGGACAGTGGAATCAGGACGATCGACCCCATAGATTAAATTACATTATCATATAATTATTATTGCCTCATGGAAACATGGCAAGCAATAACTGAATAATATTAGGAAGAAAATAAGGCGAGATATCCCTGACATGGACAGTGGAATCAGGACGATCGATCCCCATAGATTAAATTACATTATACATATAATTATTATTGCCTCATGGCAACATGGCAAGCAATAACTGAATAATATTAGGAAGAAAATAAGGCGAGATATCCCGTGACATGGACAGTGGAATCAGGACGATCGACCCCATAGATTAAATTACATTATCATATAATTATTATTGCCTCATGGCAACATGGCCAATAACTGAATAATATTAGGAAGAAAATAAGGCGAGATATCCCGTGACATGGACAGTGGAATCAGGACGATCGACCCCATAGATTAAATTACATTATCATATAGCAATAATTGAATTATTGCCTCATGGGCAGTGGAATGGACGATCGAAGATTAAATAACATGAATAATATTAGGAAGAAAATAAATATTAGGAAGAAAATATCCCGTGACATGGACAGTGGAATCAGGACGATCGACCCCATAGATTAAATTACATTATCATATAATTATTATTGCCTCATGGCAACATGGCAAGCAATAACTGAATAATATTAGGAAGAAAATAAGGCGAGATATCCCGTGACATGGACAGTGGAATCAGGACGATCGACCCCATATAGATTAAATTACATTATCATATAATTATTATTGCCTCATGGCAACATGGCAAGCAAAACTGAATAATATTAGGAAGAAAATAAGGCGAGATAATAGACATGGACAGTGGAATCAGGACGATCGATCCCCATAGATTAAATTACATTATCATATAATTATTATTGCCTCATGGCAACATGGCAAGCAATAACTGAATAATATTAGGAAGAAAATAAGGCGAGATATCCCGTGACATGGACAGTGGAATCAGGACGATCGACCCCATAGATTAAATTACATTATCATATAATTATTATTGCCTCATGGCAACATGGCAAGCAATAACTGAATAATATTAGGAAGAAAATAAGGCGAGATATCCCGTGACATGGACAGTGGAATCAGGACGATCGACCCCATAGATTAAATTACATTATCATATAATTATTATTGCCTCATGGCAACATGGCAAGCAATAACTGAATAATATTAGGAAGAAAATAAGGCGAGATATCCCGTGACATGGACAGTGGAATCAGGACGATCGACCCCATAGATTAAATTACATTATCAATAATTATTATTGCCTCATGGCAACATGGCAAGCAATAACTGAATAATATTAGGAAGCAATAACTGAATAATATTAGGAAGAAAATAAGGCGAGATATCCCGTGACATGGACAGTGGAATCAGGACGATCGACCCCATAGATTAAATTACATTAATAATATAATTATTATTGCCTCATGGCAACATGGCAAGCAATAACTGAATAATATTAGGGAAAGAAAATAAGGCGAGATATCCCGTGACATGGACAGTGGAATCAGGACGAAAATCGATATCCCCATGGATAGATTAAATTACATTATTAAATAATTATTATTGCCTCATGGCAACAGGGCAAGCAATAACTGAATAATATTAGGAAGAAAATAAGGCGAGATATCCCGTGACATGGACAGTGGAATCAGGACGATCGACCCCATAGATTAAATTACATTATCATATAATTATTATTGCCTCTCATGGCAATAACATTAGGAAGAAAATAAGGCGAGATAACATGGACAGTGGAAAGGACGAGACCCCATAGATTATCATAAAATTATTGCCTCCTCATGGCGAGATATCCCTGAATAATATTAGGAAGAAAATGGACAGTGGAATCAGGACGATCGACCCCATAGATTAAATTACATTATCATATAATTATTATTGCCTCATGGAAACAGGGCAACAGGGCAAGCAATAACTGAATAATATTAGGAAGAAAATAAGGCGAGATATCCCGTGACATGGACAGTGGAATCAGGACGATCGACCCCATAGATTAAATTACATTATCATATAATTATTATTGCCTCATGGAAACAGGGCAAGCAATAACTGAATAATAATAAGGAAGAAAACAAGGACGAGATATCCATTATTTATATAGACATGGACAGTGGAATAGGAAGAAAAGGACGATCGACCCCATAGATTAAATTACATTATAATATAATTATTATTGCCTCATGGAAACATGGCAAGCAATAACTGAATAATATTAGGAAGAAAATAAGGCGAGATATCCCGTGACATGGACAGTGGAATCAGGACGATCGACCCCATAGATTAAATTACATTATCATATAATTATTATTGCCTCATGGCAACATGGCAAGCAATAACTGAATAATACTAGGAAGAAAATAAGGCGAGATATCCCGTGACATGGACAGTGGAATCAGGACGATCGACCCCATAGTTAATTACATTTATATCATATAATTATTATTGCCTCATGGAAACAGGGCAAGCAATAACTGAATAATATTAGGAAGAAAATAAGGCGAGATATCCCGTGACATGGACAGTGGAATCAGGACGATCGACCCCATAGATTAAATTACATTATCATATAATTATTATTGCCTCATGGCAACAGGGCAACAATAACTGAACAATATTAGGAAGAAAATGAGATAGATATCCCGTGACATGGACAGTGGAATCAGGACGATCGACCCCATAGATTAAATTACATTATATCATATAATTATTATTGCCTCATGGAAACATGGCAAGCAATAACTGAATAATAAAAAGGATTAGGAAGAAAAATAAGGCGAGATATCCCGTGACATGGACAGTGGAATCAGGACGATCGACCCCATAGATTAAATTACATTATCATATAATTATTATTGCCTCATGGAAACACAATAACTGAATAATATTAGGAAGAAAAAAGGCGAGATATCCCGTGACATGGACAGTGGAATCAGGACGATCGACCCCATAGATTAAATTACATTATCATATAATTATTATTGCCTCCTCATGGAAACAGGGCAAGCAATAACTGAATAGTACTAAAAAGAAAATAAGGCGAGATATCCCTAGACATGGACAGTGGAATGAGAACAATCGACCCCATAGATTAAATTACATTATCATATAATTATTATTGCCTCATGGAAACAGGGCAAGCAATAACTGAACAGTACTAAAAAGAAAATAAGGCGAGATATCCCGTGACATGGACAGTGGAATGAGGACAATCTACCCCATAGATTAAATTACATTATAATATAATTATTATTGCCTCATGGAAACAGGGCAAGCAATAACTGAACAGTACTAAAAAGAGAACAAGACGAGATATCCCTAGACATGGACAGTGGAATGAGAACAATCTACCCCCATAGATTAAATTACATTATAATATAATTATTATTGCCTCATGGAAACAGGGCAAGCAATAACTGAACAGTACTAAAAAGAGAACAAGACGAGATATCCCTAGACATGGACAGTGGAATGAGAACAATTTACCCCATAGATTAAATTACATTATAATATAATTATTATTGCCTCATGGAAACAGGGCAAGCAATAACTGAACAGTACTAAAAAAGAGAACAAGACGAGATATCCCTAGACATGGACAGTGGAATGAGAACAATTTACCCCATAGATTAAATTACATTATAATATAATTATTATTGCCTCATGGAAACAGGGCAAGCAATAACTGAACAGTACTAAAAAGAGAACAAGACGAGATATCCCTAGACATGGACAGTGGAATGAGAACAATCTACCCCCATAGATTAAATTACATTATAATATAATTATTATTGCCTCATGGAAACAGGGCAAGCAATAACTGAACTGTACTAAAAAGAGAACAAGACAAGATATCCTAGACATGGACAGTGGAATGAGAACAATCTACCCCATAGATTAAATTACATTATAATATAATTATTATTGCCTCATGGAAACAGGGCAAGCAATAACTGAACAGTACTAAAAAGAGAACAAGACGAGATATCCCTAGACATGGACAGTGGAATGAGAACAATCTTCCCTAACAAAAAACAACTGACAAAAATTATCATTTTAAATCCCAATTTTTTCAATAGACACAAACACCGACCACAAGTGCTCATGGAAAAAAATGATTGTCCCAATTAAAAGTTTAACTCAGGAATACTTTTTCATAGAAAAATAAAAAACTGCTTGTTTTCTGCTTTTCGAAATCAGAGTCAATTTCTCAACACTGAGAGACTTCATTTTTTGTAATTTCTGCAAATAATTTTAAGCCCAATTAAAAGACAAAAGAAAAAATACAAAATTGTTTATTCGTACCTTTTTGCCTGCTCGTCAAAATCCACGACCTGGAAAGCTCTCCCACCAAAGATACATAACAGCTTGTTTGAAGATTTATCATTAGCAGAAGGAGCTAAGGAATGAAAAAAGAATGAAAATTACTAAGGAATAAAAAAAAAGAAGCAAAAAAATAGGTATTACCATTGCCGTACCAATCACCTTAACTAAGGTCTGGTTACTGGTGATTGTCTTTTAGGGTTAATGTTTTAAACATTTGTAATTGATTTTTACAGTTTCTGCAGTATAACATTTTTTGTGTTATTCTTAAGGATTTGAGTAAATATTGGAACTGTTTTATGGTCAGATGAAATCAAACTAGAATTATTTGACCACCTGAACTCCCGTTATGAATAAAGAAAAGCAAATGAAGCTCACAAAACAAAAAATTACCTTCCTTACAATTAAGCACGCTGGTGGGAGCATTCTGCTCTGGGGATATTTTGCTGCTTCTGGACCAGAAGAATTAGTGAGAGTACAGGGTATCATGGATAAAGAGCAGTATTTGGCTATTCTTAAAATTAATATAAAACAAAGGGCATAAAAGCTGTCTTTTTGGCGTCACTGGGTGTTTCAACATGACGATAACCCGAAATACATAGCGTGAATTGTTACAAAATATTTAGCAAAATTAAGATATTAGCATACCTCGCACAAAGTCTTGGCCTAAACCCCAATGAAAATTTATGAGCATATTTGAAGAAAAAACTAAGAGAAAGAAGTCCTTCAAATTTGGAGGAACTAAAAGCTATTGTGAAGGAAGAATGAAGCAGTGTGTGTAGTAATCTTGTAAGGAACTACCAAAAATGATTAAAGGCAATTATTAAGAATAAAAGTTACACAAATGATTATTGAGACAAAATGGCCAATAATTTTATCCTAAGTGTTATTTTGTATTATTGTTTGACATTAAAATAAAATTTTGGTTATGTGTACCAATGCAAATTCTTTCAAATCCATTATTTTATCATTTGTAAAAAAAATGGACAAGAAGTTTCCATGGAAATTTGAGGTGTTACAGCTTTATTTGTAATTATGGAAGGAAGGTGAATAATTCTGTCCACAATTGTACGTCAACTGCTAGATTTGGAAATAATCTTTTTAAGCTTGAAAACTCGACTTGTATGCTACAATTTATGGTCTTTTACAAGTGCGTCCTGAAGTAAAAAAAAGTTGAGAAATACTGCTGTAGAGATAAACAGATCTTTGGCAGAAGTGTCATGTCATTAAAAGCCATCATTTTTTTTTATACGTACAATGTTAATAGTAGCCATTGTATTAAATATTTGTAATGCTGCTGTCATTTCTTGAGGTGACTGGTTGGACAATTTCAGTGCACAAATCTTGAGGGAGTTGAAATTATAGGGGAGAATTAAATTATAAGAAAAGCCAAGAAAAATTGGTTATAAAGACAATCACCTTCTGAAATGCCATGAATATTTTGGTGTGGTAATGTTTGGATAACTTCGATTCTTTGACTCGTTTTCAGCTCATAAATATGGAGATGACTTCCAATCCCTGCAGTAGAGAAAAAAAAAGAGAAAAATACATTTGACAATTTTATTAACACATTAATGCAAATTTTTAAATCCTGGCATGAATTGCCAAAATTCAGCCATTAATTATTATATAAAAATCTGTTAATAATTAAAAGATTTTAGGTAAAGAAATGTTATTAATTAAAAGTTTCCAAATAAAGATCTGTTTTTAATTTATTAATAACAATTAATTCTTTGTAAATAAAGATCCATTATTAATTAGAAATTTCTAAATAAAGATTTGTTATTAATTAAAAGTTTCTAAATAAAGATCCATTATTAAAAAGTATCTAAATAAAGATCCATTTTTAATTAAAAGTTTCTAAATAAAAATCTATTATTAGTTAAAGATTTTCAGCTCATAAATATAGAGATGACTTCCAATCCCTGTAGTGAGGAAAAAAAAATACAATTTTATCAACCCGTTAATGCCCCTGATAAAATTTGATATTAATTGTAAAAATTAAAATAAAAATCTACCAATACTTATAAAATGAAAAAATCCATTATTAATTAATTAAAATATATCAATGATGAGACAGTATGTTTAGATATCAAGACATGGCAGAGAGAGACGGGACTCAAGCCTTCGCAAAGAAGTCTGCATGATGTCACGGATGACTTTTTAAATTTGATTTATGATTCCATGCTACTAACCATTAAGCCAAGCCCCACTACACTTTCACATTTATACACATGAAATTTTGTACACTGTAATTAAATACAATGTTTTTAATGGATGTCAGTTATCAATTATCTCCTGTTAATTCCCCTCTGAAAGTTCTCCACTGCCTTAACCGAGTATTGAACTCACACTCTTTGGGTCCTGTCATTGGATTTAACTAACGCCTTTATCCACTGTGCCATGTGTCCTTGAGTTCAATACCCAGTTAAGACAGTGGAGAACTTGGAAAGCAGAATTAACAGGAGATAGCTGATAACTGACATCCATTACATATGGCGTGTGGAAATAGAAGAGTCTACCCCAGTAAGCGAAATAAAGGGTTCTGTTCGACATTCCAATCACCTGAAGGAGGCCAGAGCGTACAACAGCTGAAATGTTGTAATGAATATGGTAACAAACATGAGAACAATAGTTCAAATAATGTAAATAGTGTACATAATGCCTCATCTCAGAAATATAGACAGATACTGAAGGGCCGAAACGTTGTAATAATTATGGCGACAAAGATGAGGACAATAGTCCGAATAATGTAAATAGTTTACATAATACCTCATCTCAGAAATATAGACAGATACTGAAGGGCCGGAACATTGTAATAAATACGGCGACAAAGATGAAGATAATAGTCCGAATAATGTAAATAATGTACATAATACCTCATCTCAGAAATATAGACAGATAAGGAAATTATGTATCTGCATTCTCATGACAGGTATTCACTAATTTACTAGAGACTTTTCATGTTGCACATGATTTTGCATGTGAAAGAGAAAAAGTGTGCTGTAAATATGACCAGAAAAGGAAGTAAGTACAGACAAACCTCTCACCAACGGACTAATAGGTGTGTGTGTGGGGGGTGCGTTAAAGCCTATTGTCTGTAGATGGGAAGGGATTTTTGAGTTATAAAATCACTATAATATTGGGTTGGTGCATAATTATCAGGCGTTTTTGTAGGCGAATTATTTGTTAATAAAAATTGGTGTTTTGTTTCCTTTTTTTTTTTCTGTCGCATCCAAATGCTGATGATGGGGGGGGGTCGTAGATGAGAGTTTGTCTGTACTCATTTTGTTCCAGAAACTATTTATGCCCATGCTAAATGCTTGTGTGTGGGGAAGAGGTTGAACAATGCAAGTCAATCACTGAATCAGTTTGGCATTTTTTGACATGTTTTATCAACAATTATTAATTTTTGTTGATTTTATTTCTCTTGCTTTATTTATCTAGTTGTAGTTTTTAAGTTGTCTGGATTTCTTAGATGAAGCCTTGTCAATTATTATTCATTTTTGACTAGTATTTCTTTCATCTTATTTCTCTTACTCTGAAATCTAAGGGGGCATTTGTATGACTGTTACAACGAGGAATAACCAAAACAGAGGATGGAAATGAAATGGTAATCTTTATAACATCAACAAAATACAATACTCGCCAGCGGCATGAAGTAAGTAAACCACTGCTAGTGGTGGACTACTGAGCATATTACCCCCACTTAAAATAGTGTCCAATGTATTTATGAGGATTGGGACATACCCATTAGTGTTCATAGGTACATTATATAACAATAAGAAAAGATGCCTTCCAAAATTTAAGCAATGTATTAAGAAACTAAAACATTCCATTATAAACAAAGAGTACTGAACTGTTATGTAATACTGATCCACCAATATGGCAGTGAATGCTGGACAATCTCCTCACAGATGAAGAAGGGACTTGAAGCAACAGAAATGTGGTCTTGAGAACACCATTGACCGAGCATACTAGCAACGACAAAATTTTAGAGAAAATGGAAGCAAAAAGGACACTTATACTTAACATCAGGAACAGACGGCTGAAATTTCTAGAGCACATAATGAGGAAAGTGGGTTTGGAAAATTTGACAGTCACAGGACATTGAAGGCAGGAGGAAAGCACGTAACTTTCCTAATGACCTTGTGTAAATGGTTGTCAAAAGTGGCATTAGGAGAGATAACAAAAAGAGACAAACTTTATTAAGAGGTACAAAAAGAAAGTAAATTGTGGAGAGTCTAGATTGCACACATCATGAAAGGACATGGCATACAGAAAAAGGAGATCGATTTACTTTTTACACCAGGGGTCGGGCAACCTTTTGCTAAATGTGCCAACTTAGGGTTTTAAAATCATTCAATGTGCCAACACTATACGTATTTTTATACAAATCAAGGTCAATATACTTGTTCTACAATAACTGGGCCAACTTTATAAACTTTTATAAAATTTAATTAATTTTAATTTAAAAAAAAAAAAATTAATGATCTCGAGTGTTTAAAAACGTTTGAAAAAAATTTAAGAAATGGTTGCAATGTCTATTGTACAACGCCACCAGATATTGTCATATTTGATTTAAAAATTATAATTACATAATTAAGAGTCGGCAATAAATAGAAATAAAAAAAGAAATTGTATTGAAAAAAAAAAAATAAGGTTAAAAAAAAATTTAAAAACATCAGGGTCGTCTTTTCTGTTAATTCACCCCAAAATAAAAAGAATTTACATTTACTAAAAAGAGTGCCAACAATTTAATAAAAAAAAAAAAAAAAAAAAAAAATTTGATTTAGAATTTATATTTTCTTGGGGGAATTAAATAATTTGCGATAAGTAACTTTACAACATTATTATTTATTTGGGGTGAATTTAAAGAAATGATCCAAAAATCAAATGAATTAAACGTAAATAAACCTGCTAAAAGAATATCGTCAATCACTTTTAGGGTTGTGACAGGTCCAGATTGATAAACAAGTTGAATTATTTCGCTGTTTTCGTCCATCGATGATGCAAATTTTCACAAAAGCACGTTGTTGTCATTCATGTTAACGGTGTCATAGAAAAACTTATACCGGTGACTTAAATAAATTTCCCTATTTCATTAAATTCCGACGATTGGAACTTATTAAATAAATAAAATTAAAAATATGAAAATAATTAATAATTGACACTGTCATGAAGATTAAATATTTATCTATTGCTTTAATTTTGTAATGGTCTTAAATCTTTAAAATAAATGAGTCATTCTAAACACAAGATAAATAGTGAACAGAAGACAACTTGAAATAAGCATGAAAAGAAGCAGCAGCAGCAGCTCTACTGATTCCAACGATATTTACTTTTTTTTTTTACAATGATGAAATTTGAATTCAGCGTCGGGTAAATATAAATTTTTAGAATAATAGAATTTTTTGCAACCCACTAGCGCGGGTTGAAATCCTTCCAGTTTTTACTATTGCTAACATAACATTTTTTGTCGAGATTTGCAAACTCAATTTATCAAACCAATCCGTGAAATTTAAATGAAAAAAAACTGATCTGTTTGGAAAATACTTTGGCAATAACGAATAACCCTACTTCGATGTTTAATAATTTCTTTAATTTAATTTAATCGGACTTCATGTAAAAGATATTTAAAAAAAAAAACTTTTTTTCCTTTTTGACAGCAAAGAATAAATTCTTAGGAATTCTTACTCTTGAGCAGGCAACATACAACAGGCCAGGCGTAAATATTTATTTTTGGAGCCAAATTCCAACTTTTTGAAGCGTTTGACCATGTGATTTGTTCTTGCAAACACAGGGCAAACTGGAAAATGGAGTCTTGTACATCAAAAGAAAAGATATGCAAAAAACAATATTGCATTTTTATGAAATAAGCTAATAATTTTGTTATTTTAATCATTAACTTGTTTTTAAATAATGGGAATATTTTGTATGCTACATAATAGAATTCTTAATTTTTCAAAAAAATAATGAAAATTTATTGTACTAAGCTACGCACTCTAGATTTAAAAAAATGTGAGTTGTGTGATGCGATGCGTGTTCTTAGCGCATATATCTGTAGCAGTATTGACGGAATAAATCAACCCACACATTTTTTTTTTTTTTTTTACGAATGTAAAAAAAAAAAAGCAAACAAGAGAAAAAACACAAGAAAATAACTTTTCATAACAGGTACAATATTTATATTTATAAATGACAACAGTTTTACAATAACTATTAATATGAGTTACTTCCCTTTAACTGGGCTAAAGTTTTTACCACTAAAAATATTTTTTTATCGGAGCTCACAAAAAGCTGAATTATCTTGTCGTTCAAAATGTTCACTGAAAGAGAGTTTAAAGAATCTTGTAAAGCTGTAAATATGTTGATAAACTTTTAGCTTTAAAGAAGTTGGAGAAGTGAATGTTCCGTTTGTTTTCGTTGCTCGTAGTTGAATGTATTGTTAGTAATTGTTTGTACTTGTTTCGTAAGATTCATTAACGTAATTGAATAAGTTTTAGTAAGTTGCAGAAGTTGGTGAGTGAGTTGTTTCGTTGAAATTGTAGCTTGAATTTCAGTGAAGTTATTTCATGTTAAAGAACTTGAGGTTCTAACTTTGTACTTCGCTGCAGTAATGATTCAAGCGTCGTGAACTCGTAAATTCTCACTGACTGGGTGCGCTCGTACCTTCAATTTATATGTTTTTTAATCACGTGATTGGATCCTGAGAGCATTGTTTTTTTTTCATGCAGTGAAGTGTAATGATAAAGGAAAAAAAGTTGTTCCCCTTCAACTGTATTCTGATTTATGATTGAATGTTCGAAAGAGTTTCTCTTGAATAAGAATGTTCCGGATTCTATGTTGAATAGTGTTTGCTGTTAGAATACAGTTAATTAAGAAATGTGTTGTTTAGAGAAATTAATAGAATTCTGGTTCATGAACTTGGCTGAGTCACAGAGAGAGATATGTATAATGTGTTACAAAAATCTGTGTGTGTGCGCTTGAAATATTGTGAGTAAAGTCGTAGATTTGTGTGGACAGGCGAAATAGCTGGACTCTACTGGCGGCTTTGGCAAAAAACTTTTTTTAAGGGTTTATGGTAGGCTCAAAAAAAACGCAGGAAAAATTGATTTAGTATTAAAATGTTTAATTGGTCAAAATTTGACCAATTACTGATTTTTGTATCAAAGAAACATGTAAGCAAGTTCACAACTGAAAAATTCAAAGTGATGACTGCAATTGCTAAATTGAAGCAGTATTGATTTACTAGCCAATCATAGACGAATAAATTGTGGGCGTGGAAAAGCATAGCAGTCGCTACAATTAGATTAACGCCTCCTAATTTTCGAAATTGCTACTAGAGGACGCTTTCCGGTACTATAAATCAGTCGGTTATGTGCCATGCGCGATACACACTCAGGCGGTTCATGTAAAGTTCTCGAGGAAGAAGGCGATTATAACGCGTTCCCTTTTGGGAAACGCATGAACAATACATATACAAAAAAGTACGTACGCACATTCACTCAATACACATACTTTGGACCAAAAAGTTTCCACATTCATTTGTACACACACATTATTGTTGTGGGATCTTCCACAACAAACCAGCCTTACCTCTTTTTAGGAAATGCACTCTTCCTGTCTGGTAAGTAACATCCTACTTTCATACAAATATAACAAGTATTCATTGGTCAATCACCTTCAATCTAGCTTGTTGATTGGTCAGTTCCGACCAATCAAACCGCCTGCACGCGACCAATCTGTTTTCCCGCTCATATGCCGGGAGCCTCACGAACAACACGTGTAAAACTCCCTCGAGTAGTTTTTCTTTTCATTTATCTCTCTCGCACGTCTCATTCCTTGCTACCAAGTGCCAAGATGTAACCTTCAAGAACTCCCGTCTAGCCATTGCGGTGAGACGTTAAAGACAATTACCAACATTCACGAACTCTGAAATCACTTCTGAACTTTTACCAACTTTAGAACTCACAATTCCAAACTATTCTTCTAAATTACAGTTTAATATTACTTCTTCTTAATATGAACTCCGGTACAACTAATACCTAATCAAAGGGACACGACTCATGCATGTACATCAAACATTAATAAATTTAATTGTTATGTTTTGAAATAATTCCGTTCAGTTTTGTATTTTATTCTATGTGCTATTTACGTCAAATATAAATTGCATTGCGTTCACGCATTGTCCTTAATCCCACCTTTCCTAGCCAAAGTGAAATATTGGTAACTCAATCACTACAATAATGATGACCGCGACGTTCGTCGTTCGACGTTCTCGACAATATTGATAATACAACCGCTACGTTGTCTTTGTCAATTGTAACTCTTTGTTGTTTATACATTATCATTTGTTTGTACATATATATCGGTTCTTGTTTCTTTACATTTCTTTAGGTGGACTTATATTCTAAGTCTACCATATTTGTTGTAGGCATTTCAGGAGACACACGTGTTTATCGCTCAACACATACACCAACCCGCAACAAGTGTGGTGTCCACAAAATACAACACAAAATTATAAACAATGCGAATAAAACCCGATACTTCAAATATACAAATCAACCACTCGCCCTTGCATGGAGTATTGTTGCCATATATTGTCTGGGGCATCTTCTGTTTACCTTGGAGTTCTTGACAAGATCCAGAGACGGATATGTAATATAATTGGCCCTGATCTGGCATCTCGTCTACAGTCACTCTCTCACAGACGCGCCGTCGCCTCTCTGAGTCTTTTCTACAAATACTTTCATGGTAATTGCTCCGCTGAGCTGCTTTCACTGGTTCCCAGACTTCATGAATTCAAGCGCCCTACGAGGCTGGCATCCCGCTCTCACCCTTTCATTGTTGAAACTATTAAATGTAGCCATCTCTTCTACTCCAATAGCTTCATACTTCGCACCTCTCGCCTGTGGAACACCCTTCCCAATTACTGTTTCCCTGAGAGCTATAATCTCCAACTATTCAAATGTAATGTCAATCGACATCTCCAGTCACCTTGATATATCCACTATCCTTCTCCTCATCTTTTCTTCTATCACTCCTATCTGCTCTCGCTCCAAATCTTCTGCAACCCCCTGCATCCTAGTGGCTTCACGCCTTGCTGACAAATTAAAAAAAAAAAAAAAAAAAAAAAAACTAAGCTAAATACGACAGTAACATTTTTACACAGTCAAATACATGTGTTTATATATTAAAAATCAATGTTTTTTGTTATGGTCATGAAGAGACCAATAATTTGAAATGATCTGTCGCAAGTGAGTCTGCAAAATTTCGAAGTGTTTTTGTTGCAATTGAGGAAATCAAGTGGTATAGTACGCCAATATATGTGTTTGAAGCACACGTTAATGAAACGTGTGTGATTACTGTGAGGGAAAATACAACCCCCCCCCCCAAAAAAAAAACATCGTCTGCATACTCCCTTTCATTCTCATAGTAGCAGTGGGCAAACGCCTGTGACCGCAACAATCAGCAGCAGCTCGGGCGAGCTGATGAAGTGCGACACGAGGGTTTGAAATATTTCATGTTTCGAGTAGCGCTGATTGGACGACAGCAGCCAATCAAAACGCGAAGTTTTAGCGGCAAATTTGAGCGTCTGTGGAGAAAAAAAATACAATGAGTTGCAGATGACGGTAAGTGCGACGTAGACGCATTGGGATGGCCAAGGACACATTCCAAAAGCTGGGCAGAATATTGCGAGACAAGGGGATTTCTTTGGTAACGAAGAAAAGGATACTGAGATGTTACGTGACATCTGTCCGTCTTTACGACAATAAATGTTGGACGATTTCCTCAAAGATGAAGAGACTGGAGGCGAAAGAGATGTTGTTCTAAAGAAGGATGCTAAGGATATCATGGACCGAGCGTGTAAGCAACGGTGAGGTTTTACAGAGGTTGTAAAGGCTTATACTTAACATCCGGAAAAGGCAGCTGAAGTTTCTGGGACACATAACGAGGAAAGAGGGCCTGGAGAATCTGATACTCACGGGTTGAATATAGAGA